TGTTTGCTATAACATTATAAGTTATGGTAATATTAAAATCCACTTATCTAAAAAGAAAATTAATAAGGATAACAAATTAATGCTTCACATTTTTTTTTAAAGTATACAATAATAAAGAGTAATTTAGTCACAAACAATAATTTCCAAATTCAAAGAACTGTTTACAAATGTAAGCTCGCCGCTCGGTATGGTTGTACATCATATTTACTTAATAATAGGACACTGTTTAAAAAAATTATGTTGTATCACATTAAAAAGTGTTATGTAATCTTTGAAATAGTTGAAGTATAATAAACAATAATTGTTTCAAAATGTAAGTGGAATAATAATGAATAAAAAAAATATTACCATACTATTAAAGAGTAATTCATATAAATAATTAGTTTTATAAAGAATCAATTTTTACGTGGGTATTATTTATTATTATTTTTTATTGATATTATATTACTAGTAAAATTATGTTTATCGTACATAGGTATAAACTATATTACTATAAGGTATAATTCCATACAATGTACTACTTAGACAATTTTCATAGGTACATCGTACATGTCTTTATAACAATTAATAATAACTTATTTGGATAGAAATCTAAACACACATCATGCGTGTTGCTTCTGTCTTACGTACGCGTGACGTTGACACATAGCAAATCCGAGTAGGTACCGGATTTTTATTATAGTTTATTTATAGGTAATATTAGAGCGAATTTACATACTACTGAATTTATAGAGGGTAATATAAACTGAGTCTAAGTGTAGCGTTTTTTCATGTTTTTATTTTAAGGTGAGTCATGAGTTCTTAAATAATTAATTTTTCAAATTCATATTGGCCGTCTTAAAATTGAAATAAGAAGAAAAACTACGCTTTGGCTCAATTAATATTCTGCTTTACAAATTAAATTTTACTTATTTAAAATGTTCCCTAATATTAACTATAAATAAAGATTGTAGTGAGAATTCTGTACGTAGATTTGTCAAGTAAGTCTCGGTATCCCTATAGGAAACTATAGGTTATAACTGGAAACACCTAGCTCATTTGCTTTTTATTCTTTAGCGTAATCTTGGTGGGGAGGGGGGTTAGGTACTATTGATGGTAACGGAGATGCAGCTGGTTTATTTGTACACTGTAAATTAAATTTCTGGCTGGCTTAAACAGTTAGGTCTATACATTTATAGCATCATAATACCCCCTTCTTCTAGACCTTTGAGAAATTTAATTTTTAACATAAAATCATATTTTTTAACAATACTATATTGGTTTCTTATTTTGAATTTACCATACCCAACAAACTAAAGTACATACTACCCCTGCAGTACCTACATAATACTCCTACATATTTTTGCGGACAATAACTAATTGAAGAGTCATGCATGGGATTTTTGGTCCTAAATTGGTTTATAGTCTTATACTTTATCTTTAAAACTAATAACAAAAGAAAAGAAAAGTATCTATTTTATAGTACTTTACATTTAAGAAAGAGTAGCGAGCTTTTTTTTACCGTGTGTGGTGGTAGCAGCAGCTCACTACAAGTAACTAATTAGGTACTATTACTTAGTGTTATTAGTTACCTATTCTAAAACCACGTATTATGTTTGTAGCAAAAGTTCTGGGTATGTTTCAATAACGCTATATTATAATTTGTAGTAAGTCTAAGGGCTGGTGTACATGGATGCATATTATAAGCTCGCGTCCCGGTTTAAGTTCATACACTCCCGGTGATTGAGCTTTTCTAAATAAAATAAAATACGTCCACACAGATCGACCGCGTGGTATGTAGACGGCTTACTAGAACGATCTGAAAATGTGTGGCGTGGTATCCAAAAAAAGCCGCAGTAAACGAATTTGTGACGTCACACCCATGCCACAGTCGTACGTCGCAGTAAATGTTCTTTCGGGACGCGCCTGTTGGGTGATGCGAATGAACTTCAACAACGAAAGCTGCAGAAAAGCGAGAGCTTAAATGATACACTTGGATATGAAATTCAGTTTCTAACGATGTTATAATATGGTAATCTATTATTATAGTTTAACTTTAGACAAATTTTGGTCACCATAATTTTGAGTATTTCCAACCTAAAAATGAGCCTATACAACAATAATGGGTTAACAAAACTACCTACCGATATACTATAACTAAATAATTAATTTTCTTGTACAAACGTATAACCGTTGGTTATATATTGTACAATGTAAACAACTTAAGCAATTTTCAAATAAAAATTAAAACTATTTATTATTATTTATTATGCAGTGTGATATAACTATACTATGTAGTAATGCTATACTAACTATAGTAAGTATACCATTATAGTATTATTACGTACCTATACCTATATTTTATTACTTTTCAGTAAGAAAAGCAAAGATTTCACTTTTTTATATTTTACTAATACGACATGTTAATAATATGTTATTAGAATGAATAGAAAGTAAAGTATACACTATTAAAGTTTTATTGTGATTAATACTTTTTTTCTGGATCATATATTGAATGTGTAACCCATTTTATGACGATTTTACTGTTTGTTAAATTTATAATGAAATGTTTATGGTTTATCCTATAAAATATTAACTAACAACAACAACAGTATAATATTTAAACAAGTTATAAAGAAAAACACATTCTAAGATCATTATAATATTGTATGTTCTTGGAGATTGTTGGTACTTGGTAAGTATTTCTATGCGTAATTTATGAGTAAAAAACTAAAAAATAAAATATAAGCAATGATAAAATTAATATTGACTTATCAAGTTAATATTGTGTTGAAATGTACATAACTTTAAAAGTTTAAACAATAAACAAATCTAAACGAAGCGTGATAAATAACTTCTGAAATACTGAATACTTAATAAACATATAAGGTAGTAAATTTATGATGTTAGATTTATTTAATATTAATATGCCAATAAAATAATATATAATATTATGATGAATACAACAATACCTCTTTATAAAAGTATGCAGGAATCTTGTAGGGCTCTAGGTTAAAATATATTATTGTCAAATAGTTTATTATATTATATTAATTTATGAAGGAATTCAAATTGTACAAAATAGTTTATTGGTAAATAGTAAGAGGTAACTACTATTGCAACGAAAGTAAATTGCAAACGGATATAAATTAAATGCAATTATTAATTATTATATGTAATACAAAAACTTAATATGATCAATTATTGTACTTTTATTGTATTGAATCATGCCTTCATCTAATAAAATGACTGTGGGTAGATACTAGATAACCATAATAGTATTATGTCCGATATCCCATAACGAAAACAATCTGCACTCCTTTGAATGGTATATTGATTGTTTTTATTAATGTCATAAATGCTCGTAATTGTATACTATAATAGGTACTTAATATAGTCAGTACCTCTTAGTTATAGCCTTGGACACATTTCAAATTTTTAATTGTTGGTGCCAAAATATTTGTAGGCCATTTCAAATCATTACCAGAGCACATAGGTACCTTCTTTTTTTTTTTTTGNTTTTTTTTTTTTTGGGGGGGGGGGGTTGACGATTTACGTCAAACGTATCTATACATTATTTCAAATTATATACTGTTATTGTTTGTTGTGTTGCTTATAAAATAGCTTTTTGGGTTATTAATTTTCATCCTATACTTTTCTTTTGAAATCTGTAAAGTCGTAAGAGGTTAAAGACAAAGCATACAATTATTGACAATGAAAAAACGCATGTGCGTGTTCCTTTATTTTACATCTTTTTGTATAGTACCTATCGTACAGAAATATTACAAAAGTGAGGTTAGTGTACAATATTTAACATACAAAGTTGTCAACAACATAACAAAAACCAAATAATAAAATGTCTAAAAATGGCTAAAAATGGCTAAAAATGATCAAAAGTAATGTACCTAATCATCTTACAGGTTGACGAAAAGAATAACTTTAGGTCTTATTCATTATTTGTGTAACAAAAAATGTTTTTTTATAACACTCCGTGGTTTCAGTGAACACAAAATTACAATCAAAATGTGTATTATTCATTTTTATATAAGCTAGAAATCACAAAACTGTACACTACACATAAAAAAAAATGGCTTGTATTCTCACATAAATACTATTTATAAATGTAAAAGTAGTCTTTTTATTTATTCTCGTTATATTGTTTAAATCTTATTGTGTAAACTGTTAATGTTACCTTGTTACTTTGTTAATAACTTACAATGGTTATATATTAGTATATTACTATATTTTAAATTGGATGCCGTCCCTAATAATTAAATAAATTAATAAGAGGTACCTACCATCTAAAATGTAATATTAAGTTAAATCAATCAAGTTCAATTAACAAAATTTTGATTTGTTCGTTCATTAGCACTATATTAACTAAGAAATTATTTTTAAATTTGAAAGAAGATATATTTTGTCAGTTTATAGTTTATTTGTTAAATAATAACTGTTTTTTATAAATTGCATAATATTTTCTAATAAATAAAAAAAAAACAAGAATGAATCAAAAGTGTATACAAAAACGCTTATTTACACAATACTATACAAACTACAAAGCACAATGACACAATAAAACCCATTGATACATATTTACTAATCTCAATTGTTATTACTTCAATATTATCGCCCTTTATTAATTAAATCAAACTCATCATTTTAAATTCGACAAATGTATTGGTTTAACATTGTGTGTTTTTTTTATTTGGTGTGTGTGCCTGACGTTGCTTTTACGGGAGTAGTAAAAATGCTTTACATTTTAACTGAAGGTGGTTTTTGGTTGCAAATTAAATGAAATGTACGTAAATGTACGTACTCGAAACCTGTTTATAAGGAGTTCACTGAACGTAGTTTGAATCAAATTGACCAACTAGACCCCGCGCTTTCATATGCAAATGAGACTTGACGAGCATACTCAAACAACGACGAACGACGTGAGGGATTAAATAGGATTCATTAGCGTTAATAAATGTTATTCATGAGGCATTCGCCGTACACCTCGGATGCGGGACTTTAGTTCGCGGAACCGCAAAGTAACGATCTGGTTGGCAGTGTTAGCACAGTCCATTCACCTTATAAGTTTATAACTAAAATTCGTCTAGACCATTTGTGTCGGAATATAACCATAGGACATAGAGGTTAGAGGTAAGCACAGAGTTCAATATCAACAATATCAAGTATAGCGTAATATCGTAATATATGTAAATAAGATCAGCTTTGACCACAATCATCAAGTTCCTATACTGTTATTGAATTGTTTCAAAATATGTACAGTAGACTCAGTGGTGGAATAAATTTCAAAAAAAACATTATATTATTTAATTACTCCCCCTCGATAACTTGATTACCTAGTTTCAGTATATTTATTATTTTTTGACTAAATAAGTAGAAGACCCATCATAGATAATTTGACTAGGGCAAACTTTTCGTATATCTTACTGACTTAGTGTGACTCATACTATTATTATTTATTTATTCTTTTTGTGATATTTATACTTTGTAGTATTTAAAAAAAGTCACAATCGTTGATCGATTACGCTACCTATTGCATTTTACATCCCGAGGGGAGCAATGAATGTATTGATTGTACAATAATGTGTGCATTTTTTTGTGTCGGTCATCACCTTTTGGGGCAGTAAAAGTGCTTCGATTTTCTCCAACAGCATATTTTATGATAGGAATGTGAATCTAGTTTTTACTTTAAGGAGTCAAAAATAAAAATGTCCAATAGTTTTCAAGAGCGACAAGAAAAACAACAAATTAAAGAAAAATGGGAATTTTTTTCACAAATTAATTTTTTTTTATGTAATTTAAAAAAAAAAATACCCTAAATTCATGGAATTTTCACTGAATGTTTTTATCCGCATTTTCCATACACCATACAATTTCGATAATACGTATTTTGACAATTGTTGAACTATTTATAGGCGTATGACATTTTTGATTATTATACGTTTTTATTTTGCTTATGTCGATAAAAATTTTTCCACTCAGTCAAATTAATTGTAAATGTAATACAAGGTTTCTCGTAAGTTGTTGTTAGTAAAAATTAAAAAAAAAAATGATCGTAAATCCACAATAATTTTTTATGAGCGTCTTAGTCTAGAATTTTGACAAAATTCGTAAAATACCACAAAAACAAGATTCCTTATAAATTTGTCTATAATTAATCAAAAAACAATTTCTACATTAAAATCGAATAACATTTTATATGAGAATTTGAAGTTGAAATTTTTACAACATTGGATATTTACTTAATTTCTTATGTAGTGGATTTTCTTATTTTATTGTAATTCAAAAAAGAATAACTGTAAATACTTGAAGTTCACACCATATGTTTATTTTATGAATTCATATACTTGAAACATTTTCAAAATACTTTTTGTGAGCTTATTTTGAGCTGTTGTACAGACATTTAAAATTTAAAATTTTTTTAGTTGTTTTTTTATAAATGTCAATTCAATTTTATTTGTTGGGTCAAAAAGCTTGAAAATTTAATGCAAGGTCCCATACATATTTTTACATTTTCAGTTGAAAATTATCAAAAATACATAGACACAGTTTTTTTTTCTATAAGTATTTAAAGTTCAAATGTTGACAAAATGTACAAATAATTTTATAGTTAAAAATTTTAAGTAATTTAAAGTATATTGTTATATTTTATACACACAATAACTTTTAAGATGTATTTTTTTTTTTGCAAAAATAGAATTAATCTACTGTAGTACTAATGCTTAATAGTAAAATAAATTACTTTTACCACAACAATATCATCAAATATACTAAATTACTAAGTAATAGTGTAGACTTACAGACCGTCTTCGCTCAGAATGATTTTTCGTATACAATGATTTTATGTCATTGAATTCAAATTTAACACCATCCATTACAGTGACCTACTTATAGCCTACTGTACAGCAGAGCTACATCCATTTACCCGCTTTTTTGACATTCATCTAAGTGGCAACAATGAAACTCACTATATAATAATTTGTTGCTATATAAAGAAGCATTAAAGCAATTATAAAAACATTTTAATGGTGTTGAATATATCAAGATAATTGGATATTACACTGTAATACTTTTGTAGGAAGGTGAAAATTTATAATATTTATATTAATTAATAAAATAAAAACTTTATTAATAGTATTAAAATAATATATTATTTAATTTTATATTCACACCCATATTATTTATAAAATGTATTTATATTTTTTTTAACTTATATTTTTAACACTTACAGTTTATAAATAAATACTATAATAAGCATGATTGAGGATTTACATTTATATTGACATGATTGCCATAATGAAGTAATCAGTAATCACCCAGCGGCAACACTTACTGGCTAGAGAGGGTTAGTGTTATTTCAGGTCGAATTTCTAAAATATAACTGAATAATAATAAAGGACTGGCTTAGCCCTTGTAGAGTTTTGAAAGAAATTATATCAAATTTTTAATTTAACAAACCCAATTCATATGTTTAATAGTTATTTATATATATTTTTTAATTACTTCATACGCGTTGAATTACTTGAATTCGGTATTCGCATATTATGTTTTATTATATTCGAAAATATATCGTTTGTTTCTAGAACGATATTCCGTTCAGAACCTCATTTTGCCAGCAAATAATTGTTGTGTATAGATAATTTTTATAACATAACTTGTTACTGTCTTACATTTTTAAATTGTACATTCTATATTTCTGTTAATGCTATCGTAATGATTGTAATATAATCTGTAGCCAACACATAAGTTTATACATGTTATAACTTAGCTTACATTTCTCAGATTCATGTCAATACTTATAGGTAATAATATTCGATGTATAATTAATATTCTTTAAGTTTTTATCTTTTAAATTGATATGGCCCAGAGTTTATTTTTCCTTGAATATCTTAAGAAATTTATTAATCGTTAGTTTATGTAAAGTTTTTCATTAATAATTCAACTATTTATAAAATACAAGTCTTAATAAAAAAATGCAAAGGTGGGCAAGTTAATGAAAATAATTAACTCAAGTTAAGTTAAGTTAAGAGGACACAAGATCGATAAGTTAAAAGTTAATATAGAAAAAAAAATTAACTTAACTCAGTTTAAAAAAAGTTAATCTATTTTTTTTAAGTAAATCACATAAAGAGTGAATGTGTCTTTCTAGTTTCTAATTTATAAATTATAAATCAATTTGATTTAACTTTTATCATAATGTGCACTGTATACCCTTTTACTTTTTTATTATTTATTAAATTAAACTATAAAATAAATATATTAATATACACAAAATTATGTTATCAAGAAAAAGTACAGAAATTTTTGTGTTATTATAGTATTGGATTATTTTTATTTTATACTGATATAGTAATATTTACGTATAAGCAAACAATTTCAAAATGTTTTTAACTTATTGGTTTTTTTTTAAAATCAACTGAGAATAGCTAAGTTATTTCAACTGTAAATTAAACTAGTTAAGTTCATAAGTTAATTAGAAAACAAACTAACTAGTTAAGTTAAAAAGTTAAAAAAAATAAACTTTTTAACTTAACTTTAACTTTTTAACTAGTTAATGCCAACCTTTGAAAAAATGTAACTGCTTCGTAGTTATATGGTAACATTTTTCGATAAAATAACATATTGTTTAAGACTATGGTCAAATATTTAATAATGCAACATAAATCGCTCACAATATAATACCTCTAGGATCTAGAGTTTAGGCAATAGTCAATAGTCTATGGCATTATGGCAATACAATTTGCATTAATCCTATATTCCAAGTAATTTGAATGTCATATTTAAACTTAACCACGTAATATCCACACGATGAATGTATAACAATTATCATAGAACAAGGTTAGAAAGAAAAACAATCGTATAAATTATATTACTTCATAAGACAATACAATACAAGTCATATACCTATTACATATGCTCATACATCTATAATATGTGAAAAATAATAATATGCAATAAACTAGCGTCTATACCATTAAACACATGTCATCACGCATGGTATAAAACATCATAAAAACTAATTCAGAACTTATCATTTTTTTATAAAAGAAACTTTAGAAACAGCAAATAAAAGTTTTTAACAAGTTTTAAAATACTGATTTTGGAAAACTTTGCAGCTTTGGGTATCTGAGTATCTGACTATGAAGTAAAATCGAGGAAACGGTATTATGTCAATTAAAGACTCAAGTTTATTTTTTTTTTTTTTTTAATTGATCCTGAGCTCGGCAACTGTGGCCATTAGCTATTATTAGTAGGTACTGTAGGTTTTTGTATTGATGGTTTGTAGGTTTTTTTTTTGGAACGGTAGGGGGAACACGTGTGTGTTTGTTTTGGCAGAATTTCGAATGGGGCACCCGTAGGTTTCTGCCATGCCCCGGGGGTGGGGGATGGCAGCACTTGCTCTCCGGTCACCGCGACTTGTCCGGAGAAAAATGCCGCCCGGTGGCCGAGGATCGAACCGCGACCGGCTGCGTCGCAGCGGAAGAGTCAGACCACTCGGTCACCTCGTCCCCCTCAAGTTTATTGTTTACTACCTTAAGTGCTACTTTAATTTTTTTTATTAATGCTATTAATGCTGAGTCAAGACACACAGAATCAGGATTTTATTATGCATACTATAATTTTAATATATTTTAACATATAATAACAAAGTAATAGATATATTTATAAGTACTTTCGGGTTATCGCTAAACACGACTATCACGATATCAGCATATTTGGTGCTAAGACTTATCTTTATATTTTGGCGTCACACATCTGGGTTATCGTGAGTCGTGACCACTATGATATTCGGAATTGATTACCAATATATTCGTCCACTTATTAATCTCCATTCATGCCCTTATAAGCTGAACTGTCGTATGTCACCGAACAATATTTTTTTGGAGAACATGTTTTAATATTTTTCATCTTTTGAAAAATCATAGAACACCTAGTACATTATACTTGATATCTAGTATATTGATATCTATATATTAAATATTAAAAATTAAAATTACCTTAGAAATTCAATAAATAAAAAATAAATATCTACATTATAGGTACCATAAGAGGACGTTTTTAATAATGTAGGTACCTATCTTACTTTTTACATCGATCCATAGTATAGGTATAAGTTGTGAAAACTTCTTTCATAAGCAAAATTATTGTATTAGTAAGAATTTGAGATAATTTATTATAATATATTATTTAATAATTATAATTTATACTTTATACCATAAAAATTAATTATATTAATAAAATAAATATTTGTAAATATTATTTTACGGAGTCAGCTAAAATTTCGTATCTTCTACAATATTTACGGTATTTTTAACCTTTGCATTGTAATTTTACTGTGCTTTTTCTTAGAACCCTTGGACTTTTCGAAGATTTATGGCATTTAAACTGCTAAAATATGGTCTATATTAGTTTTTTTTTAGCAATATTTAAGACGTACTCTGCTTGAGTATACTCTCTCAATATACCTAACCTCACCTATCCACTTAAATGAGCCAATTTTTAGACTTGAAGAATTTTAACTTAGATAGTTAAGTTACGTTAAGTATTATGTCCTTTAATTTTTAGTCCTGCAATCTATTTACTTAGTCTTACATTTTAGTTTAATACATATCACATGTTGTCTAATAACAAAAAGGTATTTTCTACAAAAATGTATTGGTCAAACAACTAACAAGTATTGTGGACTAAAACGCTCTGTTATGTCTAAAAAAAGGCAAATATCTATGCTTACAAACCACTGATTTTGTTATCAGTTTCATTAATGAACAAAAATCATACATTTCAAAATAACATTAGAAATATGAAAACCAATTTATCAGCAATGCAAGATGTATAAGTGTATAACGAATATCAATCTGGAAAACTTGGATATTTTTAAGTGCGCCGAACAATGCCACCAATTCTAGAAAAAAATGTTCTGACAATTAAGAATTAGTTAGGTTATGTTTGCTATTTTATATAGGGCCTATAGAGAATCAATGGCCAAATCTCTTAAGCTAGCTGATTCCAATAGGTACTTCATAAAGTTCGATCTTCGATGTATCTCAAAGACTTGAAATATATTAAAAATTTAGTATATCATTTATAGTAAATTCAGAAAGTGATCTTATGTTATATGAATGATAATATTTTATTGGACGTGAAACAAACAAATTTCAAATCTATATTTGTCATGTTATCTAAGTATATAGGTGGTGTAATAAACAAAAAATAGATTTGACAACTCTTATTTAAACAAAGAAATATTTTAAACCTTGATAAATTTGTCTCTTTAATGCAGTAATAGTTTCCAAAAATATTAATTAGAAGAAAAAAATATTGACGTGAACAAGTAGGTACGTTAAGATGCTCTATAAAGTATCCTACATTGACTATATTAAATAAATAATATTAATTAAAATACAACACACCTTAAATAAAGGTTCATCAATTTGAAAGTAATTCCTAAATATTCAAAAAAATATTAATAAACTTAAATTAAATTATTTTAAATAGTAATTCGCAATTTATAACATAATGTATTTGACTAAATACCTACTTTATACTTATATATATTATATACAATACCTATATTAATAATATACACATTTCAACTTTTAAACTATAAAAATGTTTGATATTATATAAATTGATTATTACGTGTTATTATGTAAATTATATTTTAATATGTTTTAAACGTAGTGGTGATGCATTTAATATTTATTTTACCCGAATTTTTTGAATTTGCATAAATAAAACAATAGTTTATTTTAATAGATATTAAAGCTATAATATAAGCAATAAAATGAACTTTCTGAGCAATAACAATAATAATAAAATGATGATACAATGCTGACTTTTAAATTTGTTATTTTATGGTGATCATATAATATTATAATATATGCCGTTTTAAAAACATTAATCGAACAAAAATATTAGGCAATCGTTTATTTGACGGATTTTATCTTCGGCGCATTTATTTATCATTTGTAACTTTGAACCGTCTAAAATGATTTTCTAAGAAATAGGTAATTATATTTATGATAATTGCAATGTATATTATACAAATCTATACATTCTTATAATATAATAGTTGATACAATAGAATATAGACTATAGTTGATGAATAATAAAAATGTGGTTTTATCGGGACTCTAAAAAATTTGGAAAATAAAATTAATATTTAAATAATGAGCTCCGAATGTATGTATTATGTGCCTTCTCGGGAAACAAGTATTGTAGAGATAATTAGCAAATTGCATATCAAAAACTGAACTCGTTGTATGTTAGTTGTATCATTGATTATATGTTTTACTTTTAAACTTTAATTATTTAATAATCTTACAGAGCTTCAGCAAAAAGGGATTTATTTTATTGTATGCACCACTATATACATAACATTTAATTTATTAACATAATATAGACATAAATATCTGATAGCGGCATTAAATCAGAATATTATGTCTATATTTGATCGACTAATCCACTGTGGCTTTGAAGTAGTTGATCAGGTCATCCAGGTCGTCTATTTGTTTTCAAGGGGTGATTAATTCGTTTGGTCAAGATGTTGAGTTTTCTTCTTGAATGTTTGGTTGATATATAATATTCTGTTAGTAAATATATGTTAATCTTTTACTGGTAGTCTGATCAAAATAACACAATGCTAACAAACCACTGTTTCCTTCTGGTTTCTACTATCAACAATTATTATTCATCATCTTTCTTTGCTCAATTTATATCATTCATTGGTAACAAATAAAATTTCGAATGTACTACTAAATAACTTTATCAATTAATAGGTAATTTATATATGTGTGCATATTACATACTATACAGAAACTTGTATCATATATTATTATTTATTAATATGCGTATACGGTATACCTACTTTATTTAAATTATTTTTTTTATAATGGTTTTATTATTTTGATAAATAATTAAATCTAATCCACATTATTTAAAACTCAACACACAAATTTCAAAATTGTCTAGTGGTAATATCGTTTTAATTTACTATTATGACTTATAAACATATTGTACTGTAACTGTATGTACATTCCATTATAAATTACTTATAAAGTATTACAAACATAACGCATAATGAAATATTATATAATTAGATTTGCTGTCAATCATTTAATTGTCATGTCATTGATTTATAATGCAAGTATAAGTTGCAGGCTTGGACTTTTTTTCCTTGACTCACATTTAATATTTTTATACCACCGATCCTAAATATTTTTTCTCTCTCCAAATAGTGAAATAGTTAGTGGTTAAATAAGGGTTAAATAACCTTTAAAAATTTTTAAAATCATAAGACAACTTGTAGTACATACAAATTAAAAAAAAATGTATGTTTGATACTAAATTTAGGTAAACTATAACAAAATATGAGTACAATTTAATTATTTTAACTTTTTTAATAATATCTATTTAAAACAAGTAGAAGAAATAATTTTAAAATATTGAATTGAATTTTAAATAAATTACAAATTATCATACAAACATGCTAACAAAAATAGTTGTAAAAACAGTTGTAAAAATGTTAAAAACCAAAGCGGATTGAACAAAAAAATATAAATAATTGCACAAATAAAGTGAAAACAAAGTGTTCTGGAAAGCTAAAAGATTCAAAACCTAGTTCTTAAATCTTAACATTTTTTAAAATATATTTTTCAATTTTTAGATTTACAGTACTTTCTAATGTACATTTTATATACACTTCTACTTCCTAGTGTTTGAATTTGTTTTTATTTTTAATATCCAATTTAAGTTAGCTGATAAAATATGTTATTTTATTGTTGAATCTATATGGAAAATACAATGTAATATAAATATAAATTGCGTATGATCTGAGCTTAAACGACTGAATGAAACAAAATCAAATGCTAAAATGAATTAATCCTTTGTATTTGTATAAAATATATTTAAACTAAAAATTCTAAAGTTAGAAAGAAAAAAAAATTATGGAAAATCAATATCTACGTATTTTGCCACGGTTTGAATTTATACAATATAAATTAATATAATTGGTGGCATGTGACTGCAATTTCATTATTATTGCTAATATACCTAATAAATAAAATTGCATACACTAATTGAATTGAATTGAAGTTCAATCGACAAGGGACAGCTGTTAATAAACGTATCCAAAATTCTAATCTATTATTTAATGTTCACCTATTATTGGATGTTGGAAAGGCTAAGTGATATGACCAGGGCCAACTACAGGTAAAAATGTCTACGTACCTACTTACTTTTCTTTTTTTTTGTGTTGATAAACATTTTTATGTTTAGTGAAAAAACTTGAAAATGTAATATAATATATATTATAATATCCTACATGAGTTTCTCTAAAAAAAATTTAAAAAAAATTTAAATATAAGGTCATGAAGGTAATAATAAGGTATAAATATCGGATAAATGAGTAGTACCTATTTTGTTTTAAGTATCATAAATTAATAAAATAACTATAATAGGTACCTACTGCATGAATATAATTGTACAAACGTACAATTCTAATTTTATTCCAAACAATAATAATATATTATATTATATTCTCGCTTTAGGTACTTTTCAAGAATAATATAATATCAATTACGCTGTTATAATATGATCAAGGTTGAAAATTATTTTTATTTTAGGACAACTATTTTATGGTGCATCGAATTATTATTATCTAGCACATTGCGAAAGGATAATCGAAATATCCAAGAGGAGGTCGGCTGGGTTTGGCTGCGGCGACTACGGCGAGGCGGCGGTACCAGGAATCGCGGCTGCGGTTCGCACAGCGCAATTGTATTTTAAACACGGTCGTTGTCCGACGGCGGCGTCAGTGGCAGCAGCAGGAGCTGTACTATAACTAAGTTAAAGAATAATTCCGAGAACATCTATTTTAATTGAATAATTGAATAGTTCCATCTACCTCCCAACTACCTACGACAAAAAAAATCGAAATGAGAGTCGCAGAGCTTAATATTATATAGTCAAAAGAATAACCGCTATATAAGAAAATAATATTAAACACATTATATTATACTCTAAAGTCAGTATAGTCTATATAGTATACAGACTACGGACAAAATCCAATAAACTCACTGATACCACCCTTGCGCGAGTAACTGTTCTTTTATTGTCGGTCTCGTATCGAAAAGTTTGAGGTTTTGCACCCACAAATTATTACGTTTTTGGAATAAATCTAGTTTAGGACCCCATCAAATGTTTTTTTCCTGAAGTCTGAACCTTTTCTGTGTCTATGTATACGATAGAACTAATTAAAATGTGACTTGGAAATCATTAGATTTTAAGTCAAGCGTGGAAATGTACTTTTGTATCTATCTAAGTGCCTTATTTTCAGTGTTTTTTTGTACCATGTGGCCAATTCACAGAGGGCGTAAAAACTATATTTAATTTGTAACTAAACAAACCAGACAACGTCGCTTGCTCGGACAGTTTAAAATTTAAATAACAAACGTCCACCGAGTTGTTAAGCAAAACCAACTACGGTACTTAACAGGGTAAAAACAAATGTCTTTTGATTTTAATTAATCAATTGTAAGTGTTGTAGAGAAGTTAATACAAAAAAAACTGTTTTTTTCATGATTTTTGCACAATATAATTAAAAACTAATACATAGTTTCTGCAAAACTGTGGTTAGTTCCAGTAAACTTTGAGAGGTCCTACACTAGATGTATTGTGTATGCTTACAGTAAACCAGGTTTTGCAATGTAATTTTTATATATTTATTTATTGTAATAAACGGATACGACTCTTTGGTTTTGGTACATGCATATAATATAATTAATGTACTCGCCTACTTCTATTTACCTATTGACTGTTTTTTTTTTTTAATTAAATGAATATAGAATATAATACAGTGGTCGCCGCTTATTGGACTCACGGTTAATTGACTCATTCGCATATTAGACTCAAAACGGTTGGTCCCGATTCGCACGGTTAGGTTAGGTTAGGTTTTTGAGTCATTCGCCTTATTGACTCATTCGGTTAATTGACTCAAATTGTAGGGTCCCAAAGTGAGTCCAATAAGCGGCGACTACTGTATATTATCCACCTATCCAATAGGACAATAGGTGACCTATATAATATGTAAGCCCAGAAATTACAACGCCATAGTGTGAAATATGCGTGTCAATAATATTGTACCGATGACGTTGTAAATGGCGACATGTAATTGGAAATGGTCGAATGTATAAACCATAAATTGCAGGTACATTGGTCGTCAGTCGTCACGCAATTGATTCGTGTTAGTAAATTATAATGAACTGACCTCAAGAATAACGCGTTGTACTGCCGTGTACGTCACAATTTTCGTTTACGTTGTCCAGGTTGACAAATTAAATTACTTGGTAATTGTAACGTGTATTAAATAGAAAATGCGTTAACGAATTTTTAAATTTCATATTTTATTACAAACGTTTTTTTTTTTCAGAGCATTATATGAACTGCATAGAATCAATTTGAATTAGGCATTAGAAGAGTATGAATTAGAGGCTTAGTTAGTCCTCATCCCTTTGGAAGTGTTACATGTGTTTCGTATATAATATATGTAATGTATGTTAATATTTAATCAATGCTAGTACGTCTTAATTATATTCTTATTGACAATATTTATTTTTGTTATTTTCATATTTGTCATGGTTTTGAAAAATATATCATCTAGTACCTAAATAGTTAATGTTTATTAAAATTATGTTTGTCAACTTTCTAAAAATAAAAGTAGAAACGTTTTCTTAAACAAGTCTTTACATATTGTGGTTAAAATTTTTAACTGAACGATTTTAATTGTATTTAAAATAGACATTTTAGGAGCTGGACCACTCATTACAAACATGATAAACAAATAGATATTTTAAAATGAAAACATCACTAATAATTTATTATGATTAATCATATCCATTTTTTTAGAGAAGGTAAAGTGGAAACTTTCAGTAAAGATTCTAAATCCAAATCGTCTATAGAACAGTACATATTAACAAATACAATCAAACACATAAAGCATAGAAACAAACTAAATTAAAAAAACTGTAAATAAAATATATTTTTGCATTTTTTTTTATCTTATAGATTAAAAATACTAACACTCAACACTTGCTTTAATTTATTTCTCAAAACTTTAATACTATAGAACTTAAAATTTCAATATTTGTGGTTTAAAAGTATTTTAAGTTTAAAACATAATATTTCATTGTGTTGCAAATTGTAATTAAAGATATTAAATAATAAATAACAATACAATTATAAAATAACTCAGATATTTTTATTTGCAGAGTAAAAATTTCATAGTAGGTGTATCAATTATGCAATAAATCAAATAAATGTCTAATTGTTTTAAAAATATAGACATACAGTATTATAGTTAAAAATGATTATATATCTATAAGGAATATAGTAAAATGTTTAAAGTTTCTAAGTTTAAGATTTTTGGAAAAAAGGCATTTAAGAAAAAAACATTATTTTATAATTGAATATCTAATTGTATCGATAATTGAACAATAAGCTTTTATAAAAAAAAGTATTCTACTAATGTGTATATTTGTTTTTGATATTTTTGGTATTATGTGAGAACTATCTACGAAAAGTTTTCTATTAATTTTTCAAACTTTTTCATAAAGGAACATAATTTTACTCAACATACTCTAAAGTCGAGTAACAAAATTCAAATATCTATAAATGCCCCAAAAATATTAAAAAGCCAAAATATTGGTCGAATTTCCCTTATTTGTATTAATTGCAGTTGGAACAGATACCCAAAGAAAGCGATTGAATTGCACAGCATGACATCATTACAATATTACATTATAAAAAAACATATTTCTGTCGACGTACGGGAGAATAATTTTGCATTTTAATATCTAAATAATTTACTATTTTTTAATAATAATACATATATTATACATTTATACTTAGCTACAAATTAAAAATTAAAGTAAACAAAAAAAATTAAACAATAATATAAAAATGAGTTCATTTTTCAAAATTAATAAATAACTAAAATTTAAATATTAAAAATTTAACATTTAAGATTTCAAAATATTAATATAAACATATGTATTTAAATTATTTATTTTACTCGTGTATTAAGATCATTGTCATACTGATTCGATCGACACAAAATTGCAATCCCCAGCTAAAACGTATTTGTACGTTTTGTGGAATGACCGCATCGATTGCAACTGAAAAACTATGTTTTTTGGTGAGGAGTGCAGTTCGAAAATCCTCATAATAATTAATATTTTTTGCGATGAATTTGGATTTAAATTTTGAAAATCAATTGTTCAAGGATTTTTTTCCAGCTCTAATCTAAGCTAGGTTAAAATTCCGGGCATTGGCCTAGTGCTTTTACCATTCGATTATATTGCTTGAGCCTTGAATCTTATATGGGATTTTGTGTAACTTGGCAAAAACTCAAAGGCATGTAATCTATAGGTACTTCAAAATCAGTCATCAGAGTTACCTATAGTTTCTTTAACGTGTACGCTTCTGCATTTCCTTGAACGTGGACCTGTCCTGAAATCGATAATAGAAATATTATGTTTTAAGTTAATTTGTTGATTATATTCCATTATTCTTGATGATTGATTGTGATGTAATATTTATATTTATACAAGTTATGATGCTAATTAGAGTACTTGGAGAATTTGGCAGTAATAGATATTTCTTATCATTAGTATGATAAACACTTTGTATGGCTTTTAGACTTTAGTATCAATGAAGCTTCTACGTGCTTCTACAGCAAAATACTTAAAATGCTATTAATTTTGTAATAGATTTTCTTGTTGTTAGATAAGAATATCCAATTTAAATCACTATAGTAGTCCTAAATTTTTGAGTTTAGATTGCGCTTATCTAATATTGGGACATATTATGATTAATTTTTATTTTAAACATAAATATGATAATAAAACCATTATTCAGAACATTTTAAATAATATAGGTATTCATTTAATAGGTGTATAATGTGTATAGAATATTATGTTTATGACTACATTTAGAGATGCTCTATACGACTATACTTACAGGTAGGTACCTACATGAATATTATTAAATTCATAAGTAGGTACCTATATATGTACACATTAATACATTATATTGTTAGTCTGAAGTCTTCTTTTACTACTTACAGTAATATATTTTAGATCCTGAGCGAAGCGATGAATGTAATGATTTTACAACTATATAAGTTTTTCAGATTTTTGTGTGTTCAGGTTTTTTGTAGGAGAAATAATATTTCATCAATTTAGTTATTTTATTGTAATTTATTAATATATTTACTTATTCGTGGATACTTGAAACTCTTAAAGTATATAGGTAGGTTTTTGTTATATTTAATATACACAACGACATTTTCGAATACAATGTAATCGGCAAAAAATAATACAACCTTCTGTACCTATAACTCATAGTAAAATATATTACTTTAATGGCAAATGGCAATAATGTCATAAAAATATAAAATGTGTATTTCTCCATTCATCTCTATTGCCAGCTAGTCTCTTCAGTTCCTTATAGTTTGTTAGACCTGCATCGGAAATCATCCTTTTGATGTAGGATGTTCTTGGTCGTCCTCGATCTCTTTTGCCTTTTATTTTCGCTTCTACTATAATATACAGAAGCTCTTTTTCGTGTCTTAAAACATGAGCACATGACCAATCATATTTTATTCTATCCTCTTTCTTTCATGGTGCTAAGTGTCTTCCTGGTTTCGTTTAAAACATTTTCGTTAGTTCTTCTTTCCGTCTTGCTAACTCGCAACATTCTTCTCTAGAACCACATCTCGAAACTTTCGAGGAACTTTTGTTCCGCTTTTTTCAATACCCATGTTTCGCATCCGTATAGTACGACAATCCACACATATACTTTTATAAGCCGTGTCTTCATACTTATGATCATGTTTTTAGAGCACAGTATGTTTATTTTGTTCATGAATGCTGTTTTTGCTTGAGCGATCCTTGATTTTACTTCCATAGTACATTTACCATCTTGGCTAATTATAATACTACCCAGATATCTAAAGCTTTGCACTTAGTCGAGAGTGGTAATCAATTTTAATTCTTAATCTTAATATTTTCGTTTATGATATTATTTATAGGTATAAATGCATAATTGAATTAAAATTGCACACACCCATTACAGTGATTTCCTACTCGACACCTACTGTACAGTGGAGCGGTACTCACTTGCACAGTTTTTTTATACCTGGGAATATGAACAAAACTAATTTATTTACAAATACTTATATTATATTATGTACACAACAAATTAGAAAATGTAGTGTATATTGTTTTACTTAGATATGTTGAAATTGAAAATAACCGATAATTGATTATGGGCTAAGAAGTACGTCACATTATTATTTCTAAATACTTACATAGTTACATATATATAGTAGTAAATAATTTATAATGATACAACCTACTTCTTAGTCTATAGTCAATATAATTAAAATCAGTTATTTTCAACATACCTATCTGAGTATAACCATATCTACTACATTTTAGGTACCTATCTATAACAATTAATAAATATACACAATATAATATTATATAATATATATTATTTTTAAGCTGACAGAACATTTAATATGGAATTCACTTTTATTAGTAACTAGCTGCCCGAACTTCCTCCGGAAGAAATTATTTTTTTATAATTTAATTTAAAAACATAAGACTATTTTTTGGTTATACAAATAATACAACGATTATAAAATAAAAATAAATAAATAAAAAGAAAAAAGAAACAGACATCGTTATCGGTGAATATATGAAAATAATTGGTAATTAGTTAATTATTATTATTATAATGAGGATTCAAAACCGGTTTCCTTCGTCTCCAAAATCAAGTTAGATTCTTATATATATAGATTATCAACTATATTAGCTATTGAAACAAAAATAATTCCTATCATAAACAGCAAGGGTTGCACTTCTTTCTAGAATTAATTCATTTGCCAGTTCTTCGTAATTGAAAATAATCAAAATACATACATTATTGTAAAATCAATACATTCATCGCCATGCCCAGAATCTAAAATATGGTTAACATTAATTAAAGTATTTTAAAATTCTGTACTAAATGTAGGTAGGTACTATTCAGTATATAATAAAAGAATCCTTAATATAAATGTACATAAAAACCAGGAGTTGACTGGGGAATAGTAAGTTCCTACACGAGAGTAGCAGGTAAACAATTACATATGTTAGTTCCGACACGGGCATATGTAAGTTCCTACAGGGTAAAAACCAGGTACCTATGTTAGTTCCTACACGGCGGAAAAAGGTACGTATGTAAGTTCCTACACGGTAAAAACCAGGTACCTATGTTAGTTCCTACACGGCGGAAAAAGGTACATATGTAAGTGTACCTATATGTGTATATATGTGTAAATATGTATATACGAATAAATATATGATGATTATATATTATATAATACAAATCGCATAACACATTTTCACAAATAAGCATATAATAATTAGATTTTTTATTGAAACTTTATACGCTGGTTAGCTATTTAGTATAGGTAACTACATTCAAATATACTTATAAATAATACTTATAAATGTATAATATACGAAATCACTGGAAAATACGACAAGCTACAAGCTGATAATATTATCCCCTATACCGACTCGACGTAAGGAAAAAGATAAAATATCTTATTATCTATATTTTTGACATACAAAATATTTATGACTTTTCATCATCGATAAAAATGATACAGAACTTGATTTTGATTTGATAATCTTAAAATTAGTTATAAGTCTTATAACTATACACAGTAAAATGTACATGTAGTTATTTCTCTTAAAAGTTTTGTTAGTATTGTTCGAAACATCTGAGTGTCCGTACATATCCGTTTATACCAATCATATACAGTTATACAAATTCACAATGAGCGAGAATGTATCATTCATGTTGAGTGAAAAAGGCAAACAACTACTAGTTTTGAATAATTTTAAATTTTTTAAGCATCATACATCTAAAAAAAATGAAATTACGTGGCGTTGTGTAATAAATAAGTGTAGTGCAAAAGTTTATACTTTGGGTCAAAATGCCCAATTAATTAATACAGATAAATCGTGTTTTGATCACCGCCATGCAAGTGATAGCACTTTAAATCGGCAACAAATAAGCAATGCTTGCAAAAGAAAAGCTGTAGACTCTATAGTTGAAAAACCGTCAAAAATAATACGAAAAGAAGTATCAAATTATGCTAACGAAGGAGATTTGATTGCACCCGACTTAAAACTCATAGCAAGGAATATCCATAATGCAAGGATGCATTGTTTCCCCAAACTGCCAACATCAAGAAAAGAAGTGCACGAAATATTAAGTTTATTAGACATAAAAACAAATAGAGGTGAGTTATTTTTATATGAAAATGATGCGCTAAATGAAATAGTTATTTTTTCATGTAAAACAAATATAGATTTGTTAAAAGAATTAGATGTTTTATATATGGATGGTACTTTTAACTATAGTGATAAATATTATACGCAACTATACACGATTCATGGCATTAAAAATGGAGTGTACATTCCGTTAATGTTTTGTTTATTGCCAAATAAAGAAAAAAAGACTTACGTTGCATTATTGAAAACGATAAAAATAGCTGGAGTAATACCTAAAAAAATTATTTTAGATTTTGAAATAGCAATGCATCAAGCAGTTTTTGAAATTTTTCCGGAAACAGAGGTGTTTGGATGTCGTTTTCATTTGGGCCAAGCTTGGTACCGCAAAATTCAAAATTTAGGTTACGCACCACAATTTAATTCTGCAAATGACGATGTAGGAAAATGGTTAGTACATATTTTTGGACTTCCTTTTCTCAATCCAGAGGAAGTGGCAGAATGTTTTACAGAATATTTTATGGCAGACAAACCTGAAAATCTAGCTATAACCGAATTTTGTGATTATTTGGTAGACAATTATATATCAAATGAATCAATTTTTCCTCCGAAAATGTGGGCGCGGCAATGTTCTGATAGAGTCCATACGACAAACGCTTGTGAAAGTTTTCATTCTGATTTTAACTCTAATTTTTATCACCAACATCCAAATATTTTTAAAATTATTGAAATTCTCAAACTTTTTCAAGTAAATACGTATATAAAAATAAGAACTGCAATTAATAACCCAAAACCAAAAATCAGTAAAAAATACGCTGAAAAAGAAGATTTTATAAATGAAAAAATTTCAGATTATAGAACAAGCAAAATAAATAAATACGATTATGTTAAATTATTAAGTTATAGAAATAAACCTCATAAAATATAAGTTTTCATTTTTATTATATTTTTTACTTTTTATATTATATTATATTATATGAAATGAAAAATTAAAATGCATTATACGATTTTTATTATATTTTTTACTCATCATATTATATTTATTCGTATATACATCGTATATACATATTTACACCTTTTTTCCACAGTGTAGGAACTAACATACGTACCTGGATATTACCGTATAGGAACTTACATGCGTATCTTTTTCCGCCATGTAGGAACTAACATAGGTACCTGGTTTTTACCGTGTAGGAACTTACATACGTACCTTTTTCCGCCGTGTAGGAACTAACGTGTGTATTTTTTTTACCTACTACTGTCGTGTAGGAACTTACATTCGCCCAGTTGACTGGCCCACTGTGCTGCAATGCAAAGGCACAGTGACCCGATGCCTTCCTATGTCCCCACTCCCAGGGGCTTTGCAAAAAAATTATCCACCTGCCATGGGCGTGTGCACGAGTGCAGCGAATGCAGATTTCAATGTAAAGGAAATTTATTTTGGATTTAGTGATCTGGTAGATATTTATTTGAAAGTTCAAAGGAATACACAAAATAAATAATTGATTTTTAAATATTTTATGTAATTCAAATAAAAAAATGAAAATGCTATTTTATCGATACACGAAGTCTAAAAATAGAAGCGTTTTACATTGACGGAGAACAGAAACCCCTTAATAAGTTATCCTAAAAAAGTAACTCTATGGAACCATTGTTGAAAAATCGTATATGACTGCGCTATCTATCTAGGAAACTGAAGAGCCGTGACGGCCAGTTTCTTACGTACGTATAAGGGGTTAGTATAATACGGCGGCAGTAGATGGCGCTGCTGTTATCGAATTAGTTTAGATCTAAATAATAATACCGGCCAACGCCGTTGGCAGCGTTAGGGTAGATTAAACCTCACTAAACCCAACTAAACCTCACTAAACCTCATAAAACCTCACAAAACCTCACTAAACCCAACTAAATAACCGGTGGCGCGGGTAGTTGGATCGCAGGCCGCAGCTTGTGACTTTACAGTCACTAAATACATAGATTAAATATACATTTTAATCTATGCTAAATATAAGTATAATGTATCCTACTACCTAAGTGAAATAATCTATTATTCTATCAAATATTTTATACACCATATTTGACAATGATTTTTTTAAAATTTTGATTTTCTATGAGTATTTATAAAAAATGTTCGTGCATATAAATTTACAATTTTTTTGGGTATACATACGCCTTTTTCACGCAGTTGGATAACAATGGTAAAAAGTAAAAACTCTTTCATTAAATCAAAAAAAGTTTTAGCACAATGCACAAATTAATAATCTTTTTTCAGTCCTTATTTTGACTATCAGATACAAGTACTTAATACTTTTGTAGATAAAAGATTGTATTTTGAGGATGTGTATTGTAGTACTTGTCCAAACAAAAACCATAAAACCCAATAAAAGAGGTAAAAGAAAATTTTGGTAAAATTAAATTCGGCAGAAAAATGACATAACAATTTGTATAAGTACCTACCCATAAAATAGGATACTAATTTAGTTAATAGGTTTATGTTTCAACGTTACAGTTTTCAAGTCTTTATCAAGCATGCGCTGAACTTCAAAATAACATACTTTCTTATCATAAACTGACTTAAAAATATAGAAATGTAGCAACAGATTGGAGGTATTTTATATTTTTAATTTTTATCTCTGCTAGTGTTTATGTACATAAGGTTTATCAATTTGTATTTGGTATTCATTTTATTCTTCAGAATTCGTTGTACGTGAATCGTAGATGGAATTAGAAATATAAATAATATAATTGATTCGCCAATCTAGAATATTATAGTTTATTATGTTTTTAACGAATTCAGTATCTACAATTAACCGTCTCTATCCCTTGATTACTGTGAGAAAATGTTGTTTTTAATTTCTGTATTCTTAAAAATGTTTAACGGCTGTGTTATTCCAGGATCAATTGAGATGTTCATGTGTAAAAAATTTATCACAATTAACCGAAAAACAAGCCCAACTCATGAGGAAAAAGTTGCCTCAAAAACGTCCAATTAAAGGTGTGAAACACATAATATTGGTCGCATCCGGTAAAGGAGGTGTTGGAAAATCAACGACTGCCGGTAAGCTAATGTAATATAATTCATGCTGTAAACTTAACAGTGTTAGTATGTAATACATAAAAAATAAAGATAAATGTACATTGCGCAGTAAACCTAGCAACAGCTTTAAAGTGTGTTGCGCCTAACAAAGATGTGGGATTATTGGATGCTGATGTATTCGGTCCTTCTATACCATTAATGATGAATTTACATGAAACCCCTTTAATAGATAATGGTAAGGTTGCTATTCCTTGTACTTGAATTAAATAAAATTACATTTTAATTAATTAAATTTTATTTATAAATTATAGATAACCTTATGGTACCTCTCATTAACTATGGGGTTAAGTGGTAAATTATTTGTTTCAAGTCCATTTATTTTTTGAAAACATAATTTTTATTTTACTATTACAGCATGTCAATGGGTAACTTGATAACTGATCAATCAGCGGCCATCTGGAGAGGACTTATGGTTATGGGAGCCATTGATAAATTAATAAGAGGTGTTTGCTGGGACCATACAGATTACCTAATAATAGATACACCTCCAGGAACAGGAGATACACACTTGTCACTTGCTCAAAATCTTCCAATAAGCGGTAATTGAAAAAATATTATGAAGTTCGATAGTTATAAACTATATCAAGTATTTAAAAAAAAAATTATGAATTGTAGGTGTTGTAATTGTTACTACTGGTCAAAAAGCTGCTCTTGGAGTGACAAGGAGAGGTATAACAATGTTTAAAAAGTTAAACATTCCTATATTAGGAATAGTACAAAATATGAGTACCTTAAAATGTTTGAAATGTTCTCATGAAAATTATATTTTTGGAGATAGTGTTCAAGAATTAGCTACGCAAGAAAGTATTTAATTATTTTATTGGTAACTTGTTCAATAGTAATGTTTAATGTTGTTTTCAGAAATAGATACATTGTTTTCTATACCTTTGGATCCTGTTATAACTAATGGTTGTGATTCTGGGCAGCCCATTGTCATCACTCATCCGGAATCCTCACAAGTAATTTTAATTAGAAAAATATATTTTAGAAAACATTTTTTGAATTATTCAATTTTTTAATTAGAAATGCATATTGACATTTTGTATTTTAATTTTTAGGTTAAAACTTACAAGAATTTAGCAGAATATTTAATAAATGTATTGGATAATGTCAACAGTAAGTGATTGATATCTTAGTAACATTTCTAATAACATCTGATGAACATCGATATTAATTTATTCTGATCAAATTATTGTTTAAGTAAATAAATAATAAATACGTAAAATATTTAGTTAACTAGATCCTAGTTTTATGTATTATTTAATAATGTTTAAATGATTCAAGAAATTTTAAGTAAATAAAGAATGTGTAAAGCTATCGGTGCTTAATTTATTTTATTCTTAGCGTAGAAGATACCTACAGTGTAAAATCTATATTATTATTCTTTAAGGTTTGGTGTATCAGGATATCACTGTATGTGAAGAATACTCAATTTATAAAATAATCATCCTAAATTCAATTTTGGAGTATAAAAATAAAAAATATATGTTGTCCTTCAAAAAAATAAAAAATATAATTATAATTTTTTAGGTAATACACAAGTGTGTTCTTGAAAATTAGTTTTAACCACAGTTATCTACCAAAGGCGTAGCGTGATGATTTTATATGGGAGGACTATAGCCTTTTTTCCTTGTTTCCCTAGGGGGCTTAACAGAATTCTGAGGGGAAGCCCCTTTAGCCCTTCCCATCCTCCGCCTATAGACTACCTACCTAAATAATGTCATATTAAAAAAAAAAAAGATTTGACATATTATCATTTATAATACATTTATAGCGGTAATGTACTAATACACTAATAATGACCTACCTCTTCATAATATTGTTATATTCATACTGATAAAATGTCCTATTTTCTTTCTATCAATATCCACCCATATTTAAAATGTTGGCTGAGTGGCTAAGGAAAACTTGGACCCTATGTTATACCTATACACCATTGTAAGTATATCTATATTTATTTATACTGATGGTAGTATAAAATAATATGTATCATATACATTATATATATTATATAGATGTAATTTCTGATCTCATCTTAACTTAATATGCTGTAGCCAGTGGCGTGGTGAATGGAGTCCTAGGATTCCTAAGCATCACGGTAGATCCTTTGATGGGGGATGGTGGTTGGATACATTATAGCATTGGTTATAAATAGTATAGATGGCATTTTGACTGCTGTACAAAATACGCTGTGCTGTATTTACTAGCGATCCTGGTACTGCATGCTAGAACTGACTAGGCTGTTACTTTATAAGATACTAGATTTATAATCGGTGATTATAGTAAGCAATAACATAAAACAAAAATCAAAATATTTATTGTATCATATTTGTTATATATAGCATATATTATATTAAGGGGATTAAGAGTGGGTAGGTACTAAAATATATGCTGTGCATAATGCTTTTTAAATGTACACTACGCCACTAGCTGGGACTACTCAATGAGTTAAGTCAAACAAGATAGTTTCCATTGTAATAGTTTATGACTGTACGTCTAAACATTTTTTTTATCAAAAATACTCAGTTAAAAAAAATCATAAAATAAGTTTAAGTTTCTGAAAACTTGTGTTTACCCCACATAACCAAAAATGTTTAACTATGTAAATATGATTAAGAAATTATTATGTACCTCAATATCTTCTACTAGCTTAGAGGTGATCAAAATTTGTTAAACTACTTTTAATTTATCTTAAGCAGACAAATCATATTAATCGTATGTCATTGTATCTAATAATGATATATCTAATTCATAAAAACAACCAAACATCATTAAGTAGTTTGAGTTGTCAATTCTTGACATTTTTTTAAACTAAGAGAGGAAATAAAATGAAAAAAAAACACTTTTTATTATTTGGCGAGACTTTAATGTGAAAAATAAATTAGGTAAAACATAATTGCATTAATAAAACTCACAAGCATAAGCAATTTAATAAATATAAATATAATTATCTCTTTCTATTCTTAAGTAATAAAATAAATAAATAATAAAATTAAAAAAAAAACATATGTTAGTAGTAGGTAGATTCATTGATGATAAACATAAAAATACATCAAATAAAAATTCACTCTCAATTAAAATTTAGACACTTAAAAATAAAAATAGAATATTTTATTGACATAACATTTCAAATGCAAATTATTAATAAATTGCTCACATGATTTAGTCTTAAGCTAAATAGTTAAGTATTCGTAAATAAATCTATTATAAAAAACTCTGATGTAGCGTGCAGTATAGTATTATGGTTTAATTTTGGAAAAGTGTTTTAGTAAACTCTATGTAATCTAGAGCTCCAGTGATTGGCCGTTCAGTTTTTGTATCCACAAATGGTTTCATACGAGCAACACAATAATCAGCCATATCCTTAGTAAGATTCTATAAATAAACACAAACCAATATTAATACAACCATCAAATATTGCGTAACAATAAGTAAGTGATACTGTAAAGTATTTAGAGCCGTAGTAATGAGCAAGTATCAATTGATACTTACAGCATATAGTTCTTCTTTCGTAACATATGGTCTATCGCCGGCTGTGATTGCCCTGAACGCATTCTCAATTTCTTCTGAACTTTGTACATTTTCTGTCTCTTTGCTGATCATGAATGCCATATACTCCTGAAGTGATACATAACCATCTCGATTTGGATCTACCACATCTGGAAAACGAACAAATTAAATATCATCACAAGCAACATCTTAACAAACAAAATACCTAGTATTGCTTCAAATTCGGGATCAGGCTGTCCTTCTTCTACCATAGGTAAGTCATAACCCAAAGCTCTGAGACAGGATTTGAATTCGGTTTTATCAAGACGTCCTGAACGATCCTTGTCAAAGTGTTTGAACATCATGGAGAATTCTTTCAGTGCATCTTCACTGACACCTGATTGGTTTCTAGCCTGAATTTGTTGTTCTAGGTTGTGTTGCATTCGCATACCTAATTGATCTAGTTGATCCCATTGCTGAGCTAAGCCAACTGTACTATGTTCAGTGTACCTATAATCAATGATTGGTTAATATTAGTATATAATGTTGTACATAAGATTGGTAGAAACTTTGTACCTATTATCCAATATTAGATGCTCTTCAAGAATAGCCCCAAGGTCTTCAATTTTCTTTAAATCTGAACGACGAGAACGCACTTCAGTTGCTTTACGCTATTTAATAATTTAATTGGATAAATGAAACACACATTTAAATTAAATATTAAATTTTTACCTTAATGGCTTCTAGTTGTTGTTCCAATGAACCAGATCCTTCCATCATTGATGTTCTATAATAGGAATGAATAAAAAATGCATTTATAATAACTCTTAAAATCAATGGTCCAAAACAATAATACATATTGAATTAGTTATTAATTGTACCTGGTTTCAGTTAACCATTGGTGGAAAGTGTTGGCATGTTTAGCAAATTCTTTTCTAAGTGTATCATTTTCATCTTGTCTCTGTGCTTCTTTGGTTAATTCAATATCTCGTTCCTTAATGATTTTCTGTAGGTTACGCCAAGTGTCCTCTAAAGCTTCCATAGTGAACCATGTGTATGGATTGGGGCCTACATTAAAACTCTTAATCTGATGATCAAGGGCGGCTAATGCTTCAAAATCTGACTGAGCAGATGTCAGTGATGCCTATATTATATTCAAATAAATTTACATAAAAAAAATAACTAAACATTTCATTCACAAATTATTTATTTACTTGGAATTGTGCATGTGCTTCACGAAGTGCTCTGATTTCTTCTATGGAATTACAACGCACGGGGTCTGTTAAATCTTCCTCAGCATTTTCAAACCAGGAGTTAAATGCAGAAGCTTTCTTTGCAAAAGTCAAGTACAGTTCTTCAATTTGTCGGAATTGGTTTTGCATACGTAATAATTGCTGTTTACGGCCATCTGAATCTCCCAATAATTTTTGCCATCTAAATTAAAAATAAAATAAATATTTATTAGTGTTAATGTTGAATCATACAAAAAAGTACAATATTATCCAATTAATAAAAACAATAAGTTAATACCTGTCAATCACATCAGCATGTCGTTTTAATATTGCTTCTGATTGGTTATGATTAGCAGTAATCAATTGATCCTTTAGAGCAGTGATGTTTTGTATTCCTTCATGTTCAAACGCATGAAGACCTAAACCATTTTTTTTTTAGAACTATTACTTAATATGTTGGTTGCATTTTATAAATAAAAGATAAAATCAGTTGTATCTTTACCAGCATCAAATGTTTCTTGTTTAGTAAGCAAAGTTTGAACAGTAGATAAATCTCTACCATACTCTTCTGATCTGACGTGAGTTTCCTTATCAGCAATCCATGACTCAACAACATCTGCTTTCCACATGAATTGTAAATAAGCAGAATTATCCATCAACTTTGACTTGCGTTTAGCAGCCAATGCAGATAAATTGTCCAACTTAATCTATTTATGTGACACAATTTTATTAAATATTTTCAAATGATGGGTCTTAAGTTAACTAATAACTTGTATAGATACCTGAAGTTGTTGGCAACGCTGTAATATGCTATCTGCATGATGGTTCTTTGAATCTGAAAGGTCAATACCTCCATGGCTTATTTGTTCACAGCGGTCACGATGAACAGCAAAATCAGTTTCAAATGCATCATGTTTTTTCAAAAGACCTTGTACAGCTGCCATGGTATCACCAAAATCTTCAACGGATAATAATTGATGTTTTTCACTGAAATAATAAAATAAACAAAATAATTGACAAGAAACATGTATGTATAAATTATTATTAATACATTAGTTACACAGGTAATTTATTAATGTTATAATTGATTTACCTGATCCAAGCTTCTTCTTCTTCGACTTTGGCCAAAAACTGTTGATAGGTTAAAGACTCATCTAATTTTTTCCCTCGATTTGAAGCCATTTGTTTCAATTCATCCCATGCTTGATTTAATAATTTCAAACGCTTCAAAAAAAAAAAATATATTAAGTCAATAAAATGTTATTAAAAAAAATTTAAAAAGTTTACCTGTTCAATTTCTGGAACCCCGAGGTTAGAAACATCCATTAATTTTTCTCCAGCTTCTTGAACTGATTGTATAGCAGGTTCATGTGATGCTAATTCTGCTTCAAGTCGCTTATGTTTTTTTTTAAGATTTTGAACACCAGTTAAATCACGACCATAATCATCGGATCCAACCAAAAGTTTTTTCTCCCTATTAACAATGATAAATAAATAAATATCATCATAAAACATAATTAATATAATATGCAACTTACTTTATCCAAGATTCTTCATCTGCAATATCTCTGAAGAATTGATGTAAAGTGTTAGCTTCATTTAAACGAGCTTGGCGGTGAGCTGCCAAATTTCTAATACGTTCATATCTTTCATTGATAGAGCTACGACGTTCCTGGATACTTCCGGCTTCAAATTGACCACTCTCAATTAATGAATCTGCTTGACCATTCATATCTGAATAAAAAAAAAAAGTTTTACTATTTAATTATTTAAAGACGATAATGATATTTTATTCTAATAAATAAAATAACTACTTATTTTTAAACAAAAATTATTTAACAATATTATACTATATTAACCTCTAATACGATCTTCATGTGCCTGAATATCAGCTTCAACAAGTTGATGTTTTTTAATTAAATTTTGTACAGATGCCAAATCTTTTCCAGAGTCTTCAGATGTTAACAATGATTCTACTTCACCTAACCAGAAATCTAAATCTTTAACAGCAGCAATATAGGTACGCTGTTTGTTCGCTTCCTTAAGTTTTAATGATTTCTCAGTTGTTTTTTGAGTCAAATATTCCCATTGATCAGCAATAGATCCTAATCTTGACTAAATTAAAAACATATATCCTCATAAATATGAAAAATATATTGGGTAGGTAGTTCAATTAGTACCTGAACAGCTTCATCCGATCCAGCACACTGATGTTTATCAATCAAATTCTGTCCCATGCCTAAAACACTTTGAATTCGGTCAGCGTTAGCAGCTAATTCTGCTTCAAATGCTTGATGCTTTTGATGTTTAGATTGAATATTTGCTGGGTCCTTGTAACTTTCCTCTGTAGCCAGTTGAAGTTTCTCCGCAATCCAATTCTCAATCTCATCAGCATCTCTACTGAACTGCTGTAATGTCTGTGATTCACCTAATTTTGATCTTTTTTCAATTAAAGCCTCTTTCAAATGACGCCATCTATTTAAAACTTGTTGCCTTTTTTCATCAATTGGTGTTGCAGCATAATGTTGTGCAGCCATTAATTGATCAGCTAGTGTTTGTAAAGCTGCAATTTTTTCTTCCTGTAAATTAGTACACTTAAAATTAAACCAAAGAAAATATTTTTTTCAACAACAATCGTACATGTGCATTTATAGCTTTATCAAAATCTTCATGTTTTTTAATTAAAGCTTCAACATTATCTCCCTTAGAATCAACTTCTTCGGATGCAAGGAATGCCTCTCGAGCTGACATCCAGTTTTCAGCCTGTTCACAATCTCTGTAGAATAGTTGTAGTTCCAAACATTGATCTAGTTGCATTCGGCGGTTTATCCATGCTCTGTGTGTAAAATTTAATATTAATACTCTGAGAAAATGTATTTTACACTTAAAACTCACTCTTCTAACTCTTGTCTAGCTTCTGTCATGCTTTCAATTTTTTCTTGTATTTCAACACTGGCATAATGTCCAGATTGTAAAAGTTGTTGCCCAAACATTTCGAATGTTTGGAAGGTACCAGTACGAGCATCAATTTCTGTACGGTGTTCCTAAAATATAAAATGAATATAAAAAAAGATAGTACTACTTTTTAACTAAAGAGTGAATAAGTGTAGCAGAATGAAATATTAATTTTTTAGTTGTACTAAAGAGACGGAAACATCGTTGGTAAAATGTTATTGATAGTATCACTAATATTAGTTTAAAAATGTCTAAAACATATATTTTAAGTGAAAAATTCATTGGTGTATTTTATTAGTATACAATTTCTTATTATTTGATAACTGTAACATAATAAGTTATAACACTGTTATAAAAAAAAATTAATTATAGAGTTATACAAAAATACAAACTAAAAACAATGAATTAATTTTATTTTAATTACTAGGCCCAAATAGATAATTGCAAAACTTTTTCTTTAAGGTAAAATTGTACTATTCTTTGAAAAACTCTTAAATAAAATGTAAATAAATTTT